CTCTCTCTCTCTCTCTCTCTCTCTCTCTCTCTCTCTCTCTCTCTCTCTGAACATTTTAAAACAGCTGACGCGTCAAAGTTTGCTCTTTCCGCAGCAGGCTTTCACCATACCTTTCGAAAAACAAACTATAACTTTGAATTCAAGGGCGCCACCAAGGGGGGGCCATGGAGGGCCAGTGGCCCCCTCTCAAGGACAGCCCCCCCCCCCCCCCACACACACACACACACACACTTGGCCACAGTTTTATCATCGTGCAGGCTTTTGCTTGCTGTGCATTTTTTATTTTTCTCTATTGATTGTGGGGGGGAAGCAAGCCTGTGATCAGCAGGTCGCTGGTTCAAATCCCTTGCTAAATCAAAAAAATGTGGGTGTCAAAGGTCAAGCACCCACGCTTCCTTCCAGCGTTATTTAAACTCCTTGACRCCTTGCCCTAAACCTATAAACTCAGTTCTGACTCACCAGCTGTTTATTTCTCAGTGTCTTTTGTCCCCATAAGGAACGGCGGTCCTCACCAGGCTGTGTGCGCCAAAAAAAATGGTCAAAAATCGCCCCCACCAGGTAGCAAAAACATGTACACACACACTCAACTGCAGGCAGCCAAGATGTGCCTGTAGGAGGTTGGTGGTCAGTGGCTGCGTCAGGAAGGCATCTGGAATAAAAACGTCCAAATCTTTGTGCGAGTTAGCTCACTGTGGCGGTCCGTGTTGAGGGAAGTGGCTGCAAGAAGAAGGGGAAACAATTTTTTTTAGGTTGATTAAAATAACCCCGTATGTAAATGCAAACGTTGTCGAGCAATCAGGAGGACTCTAAATTATACAGCATGTGTATTTTTTAGAAAATTAAAACTCAAAATCAACAACATAACAAATCCACTGAAATTCTCTTCTAGTTTTTGGTTTTGGTGCCACCACAGGATTTTCWGTGGCCCCCACCTGACCCTCCATGAAAACATTTTTTCCACTGAAGAGAATTACATATACAACTAGATCAATCTGAGGCTTTAGGTAAAAAAATAAATAAAAGCACATTGTTGTTTTCTGAGCTTTAGAAAGTGTCTGACTTTGAACTGCCTTCAAGAYAGTCCTTCTTACAAATGAGAACATTATCAAAATATTATTACATCACATTTTATTCACCTGCAGTTTAAAAAAGTGCTTCATACAACCAAACACATACAAAAATAAATGCTGACATAAAAACATATATAATTAATATATATTATAGTATTCTATTTACAAATTATAAATYTGTTTTTTTATATTTTTCAGCTGTTTGAATTTTCAAATGAGTGTTTTTTATAGCTTTTTTTAAATATACATATCCAAAATGTCCACTAGGTGGTGCTATTGCTAAGAAACCTATCACGTACTTTTCTATAATAAASAGAAGAAGAAGACGTCAGTGGAACTCTGAAAAACTGTCAGAGTGAGACCTCTTTCCCAACAACCTCTAACCTCAGGSTTATTTGTCTTTTTCTCGCCATGTTCGCCGTCAGAAATGCTCTCCGTCTCGGCTCCAGGTTGTCCGTCCCCGCCGTGGCGAGGAGGGGATGTGCCGGAGCTGCAATCCCGGTGGACGACGTGGTGAACGGACTGACAGAGGAGCAGATACAGGTCAGCTAGCCGGCTCCGTGCTGCTAGCAAAAACAAGGTTCACTCGTTCGGTTGTGACCGAAGAAAAGCTCAAAAACGTACAAGAGTTAAAAAGTCACGTAAAGACAAGTCCAAAGCCAGTAATATTTGTGTTTTACAGACGCAGTCCARCTTACGTGATGACGTAACATTAGTTTAGATAGCTAGTTCGTRAAGCTCCATCAACTAAAAATGCTAAGGATCTTAGCTCTAGTTCTAACTTTTGGCTTTGCCTCAATACACGAAAGGTTAAACCAGGCTTATTATAAACATTTTGTATTGGAAACATGGTTAGTAGTGTTTGATGTTTTCTATTATAATCAGATAGAAAGCAGGTGACTCTGAAGGAGACAGACAGGAGGTGGAGTTCATACAGAGTGTTTGATTGGATGTTGTGGTCAGCATGAGTTTACATCTTTACTAAAGTTTTAATAGTTGAGCTGTCAAAACTCCACTCAGCTGATAGGAATTTAATGGGTGATCTTGATTCTGGTGTTTTGGTTTCTTAAACTTTAATATAGGAAATAATTACATTCTGATGACAAATCTTTTCAAGGATTCTCACAGTTCTTTTCATGACTATTACAAAAGTCTCGAGTCTTTCTTCATTTCTTTGTGTTTTTGCCTCAGATTAGACAGACTCGTTGTTTTTTGCTTGTTTTAGGACTTTTCATTGAAAAGTTTTTGTTCATTAAGCCACTTAACCCACGAATCACCCGTGCACACCACTCCTAAATTCAATAAAACTACAACAAACTAAACTCAATCAGACTCCTATGTAAACATAAAAACAACCTACAAAGAAGCAAATTAAAATGAGATATTTAGGCACTTTGTTGTTTTCAGCTTATCGCAAAAAAAGACAATTGTTTTAGTTTCTTCAACTGAGTCTGTAAAGTTTACCAAATGAAATTGTATTTTAGCACAAACAAGATGATTKCCAAAGAATAATTAGCTGAAAACTTGGCTTTTAGTTGATTATCAACTAAAAGATGAAGCACTTTATTTCTTTTTGTGGATCTGTGATTCTGTAAAGAGTTTAATGTGCTAGTAAAGTCTTTTCAAATAAGGTATATTTATTATTATTATTATTATTATTATTATATGTTATTATTATTTATTTACTTACTAAGACTTTCTCTGCCACTGTTGTAAGCCTGAATGACTCTGAAAAAGTTCAGGTTTAACCTTTTTTGACCTACCAATTAGACAACGTTTGTGTTGAGTTAAATAAATTTGTTTTTCACAGCTGAGGCAGACGGTCCGTAAATTCTGTGTGGAAAAACTTGGACCACACGCCGATGAGATTGACAAGAAGAATGAGTTTCCAGGACTGCGGGTGAGTTGAAACGCTCCACTGAACTTGTACCTAAAACCTCCGACTCGGCAAGAAAGTGAGCTTTGATTAATGTGGTTCTTGTTACTTCAATGCTGTTTGTGATTATTATTTTTTTTATTCGTTGTTCTTTTAACAGGATTATTGGAAAGCGATGGGGGAGATGGGACTGCTCGGCATCACTGCACCAGGTATGAAAGCCGCTATTTAAATGTTTTAAATGGAGGTTTGTTTGATAAGAACTTAATTCAGCTGATACCAGATATGAAAACGCTTCAGTTGAAGGCCTCTACCTTTAATATTCACCTCAGTGGAGGACGGGGGCACCGGGTTGGGCTACATGGAGCACGTCATCGTGATGGAGGAAATGTCCCGGGTGTCGGCAGCCATCGCTCTCAGCTACGGCGCCCACTCGAACCTCTGCGTCAACCAGCTGGTGCGTCACGCCAACRCTAAACAGAAGGAGAAGTACATGCCGAAGGTCAGGACCTAACGTGTCTCTCTCTAAAGCAAAGCTGAGCGCTGATTGGACCGTTTTAACGCCGGTTGTTCTTCGTCTTCCCTCAGTTGCTGACAGGAGAGCACATCGGCGCCCTGGCCATGAGTGAACCTAACGCTGGTTCTGATGTCGTCTCCATGAAACTCAAAGCTACAAAGAAAGGTAGAACAGGAGCGGAGGGTACAGGCTTGCTTTGTTTAAATGTCAGCTTTGCAGCAAAGCATCTAGTTTGTATTTAAATAATGAGGTCAAGGACAGTTTGAGTCTGTTGAGGCGTCGCACTGATAAGCTGTGTGGCCCGATAAGGAAACTATTTAGTCAATAAAATGCTTGTTTTTGAGACTTACAGAAACTCCTACTGTATAGTAATATTAAGTTTTTATATTGCTTTTTAAAGGTGAATGTTTGTTTTACATCTGCATTACTTAGACAACATACTACTCTTTAGATCGGTACTTTTTATAGAGTTTTATTCTTGTCGTTTTGTTCTACAAACTCATTTTAACGACTCCTAATATTCAGGACTGAACATAAGTCAGAAGTGTTTATACCTGCAGTCAGAGGAGTGAAGACTTCAGTTCTTTTTGTAATTGAAACATTTCTGTTCTGTGCTGGGATATGAACAGAACCTGAGCTTTTTTTTTCTGCGCCTTCATAACCCAGTTTCTGAAAATATAAACATGGAAGGATTCTCTTAGGCAAATATTAAACGATCTACATCTATTTTTTTTTTTTACCTTGAGTTGTTTTTAGAGTTTATTCTTGTGTAAAATGTAATTCCTTACCTTTGACCTTTGTTTGAACCAGGGATGGGCAATCCTTGAGGGCCACTATCCTGCATGTTTTAGAAGGTTTCTCTGCTCCAACACCTCTGATTTGAAGACTGGGTGATTAACAGGCTTCTGCAGAACTTGAAGAGGTAATTAAATCACTGGACCAGGTGTGTTGGGACAGGGAAACAAGTAAAAAAAAATGCAAACTAGTGGCCCTCGACGACCAGGTTTGGACACTTCTGGTTTTATTATTTCTGCCATAAAGTTGTTTAATTTTTAACGTCGCTGTGTTTGCCTCCAGGGGACTACTATGTTCTAAATGGCAACAAATTTTGGATCACAAATGGTCCGGATGCAGATGTTCTGATTGTGTACGCAAAGACGGATCCTGGGGCGCATCAGAAAGGGATCACAGCGTTTATTGTTGAAAAGGTAAACCCTCTCATGCGTGTTTGTTGTTGAAGCATTATAAAACGAAATGAAGTAAAATTAAAATGTTTTTTTTCCCTTCAGGGTATGCCAGGATTCTCCACAGCTCAGAAACTGGATAAACTGGGCATGAGGGGCTCCAGCACCTCTGAGCTGATCTTTGAAGACTGCAAAGTTCCAGGTAGGAGTCAGAAACTCGCTCTGCTTAAAGGTTTTTGTACTCGTTGTGTTAGGAGTCATTTTCTGAAGACCTGTCTSTTAGTTTTTTTAATGAGAGGATGTGAGTGGGGGGTCTTCAGTAAATTGTGTTTGCATTGTATTGGATTATATGTCTGTTGGTATTGTAATTATGTTTTATATTTGTTAAATAGCATCTGGCTGGTTTTTATGCTTTTTTTATTTTTATTTTTTATTTTTTTGGCATTTTGATATCAGCTGGATTGGGGACTACAGGTGGAAATTAGCACTAATTCTATAACCTGGTTCAATTCATCTCTCCTTTAAGGTTAATGTATATTGTACATTGTCCCTGTTTATAGAATAGAATAGAATAGAATAGAATAGAATAGAATAGAATAGAATAGAATAGAATAGAATAGAATAGAATAGAATAGAATAGAATAGAATAGAAACAGCCTTTATTGTCCCGCAGAGGGGAAATTCAGGTGTAACAAGAGCAGCATCGGTTCACAAAATATATATATTTCTACGCACCAATAGCAATAGTAGTAATTGTAATAGAATAGAAGTAGCAATAAAAATTAAAATAAACAAAATAAAATTTTAATTATTAATAATAATTGTGTTTGTTACAGAGAAGAATGTTTTGGGTTCACTGAACAAAGGCGTGTACGTGATGATGAGTGGACTGGACCTGGAGAGGCTTGTGCTCGCTGCAGGACCTGTAGGGTGAGGTTTAAAACTGAGCCTATAACGTCTTTACAATGTAGAGAAATGTTTATTAATGCTGTGCATACAATGAAGAGATGTTTCTCTTTATCGCAGTTAAACCACTTTATTATTACCATTATTATGTATTTTTATTTATTATTAACATGATAAATATTGTTTTCCAGCATCATGCAGGCAGTTTTAGATGCTGCTGTTCCTTACCTGCATGTGAGAGAAGCGTTTGGACAGAAGATTGGACACTTTCAGGTTTGGCTGTCAAAGATATGTTAAGTCCATATTAATATAATTATTATTTGCTGATTAAAGTTGAGCTGTTCTGCAGCTGATGCAGGGGAAGATGGCCGACATGTACACCAGGCTGAGCTCCTGCCGGCAGTACCTTTACAACGTTGCTCGGGCTTGTGACAGAGGACACTCCAGCTCAAAGGTAGGACCCGCCTGCAGCTTCTGTTTGTGCATCTTGTTCATTAAGGTAAGAGCTGGACCAAAAACTTTGATCGTTTTATTTTATTACGTTAACACTTCAGGCAAAAGTGGCCTACTTTTGTTACTACTACAGTAGTCATATTTTTTGTTTTGTTTTTTGCCCATACATGTCAGATTATTTTTTTCACGAAAGTCTGAACAGGAAAAATGGGATAAAAAAATAAACCTAACTTATGTGTGGTACTAAGCGTTTGGGTAGCTTTTTAATGCAGTAAGAACCAAAAAAACAAAACACGAGCTAAACAGTTAGCAGTTACATGCCACACGTGTGTAAACTAGGGTTGTGCATAATCGTATCGTGTGCAATTAATCGTCAAAAACATTAATCGATTATTTTTTTGTCACTAGACGATTAATATGATTAATGCCACCTAGAGCTGGGCGATATGATCAAAATTTTATATCACGGTATTTTCAACATTTTCACCGGTTTCACGGTATTTGACGGTATTTTTCTTTTCATCACAGCTCAGCTGATAATAAAATGTACAAACCCTGGTTATTGACTTTTTTTTTCTTTTACTGTACCTCTGTCTGTGTCACTATTTCCCTCCTCTGTGTCTGTTCTTCTCTGACT